AAAAAAAAAACCCCCCCTAAAAAAAAAAAAAAAAAAAAAAAAAAAAAAAAAAAAAAGCTAGATGTACATCATGTAAACCTACATTATATTTCTTAAGCCCACTTAACTTTTTTTTTTTTTTATATATTGAAGAATATACAGTTCTTTATGGAAGCTTATTTCTGCCATGGGCCAAAAACATAAAAAAAGGTAATTATGAGTTTTCATCTATTACTTTTTTCTCTCAATTCTAGGAGAAAAAGGTCAAAATTAATAAATAAAAAATTCAGAATTCTGATTCTTTTCTGACAATTCTGAGTTTATACAAAAGAGTTTGGACTTTTCTTCTTAACTCAGAGTTTACATCTCACAATTTTTTTTCTGCAATGAAATAAATCTTTTAAAAAGGTTAAGAACTTTTCTCACAATTCTAACTTCTCACAACAGTGAGTTTATCTCACAATTTTGACTTTTTTTCCTCAGAATTTACATCTCTTTTTTCCTCAGAATTAAGAAAAAACATTTACATCTCGCAGTTCTGAGTTTATATCCCAATTCTGTGATTTTTTCCCTCAGAATTTATATAAAATCTAATTTGTGACAAAAAACGTCAGAATTGTGAGATAAAGAGTCACAACCTTGTCACACCTTTTTTAATTTTTTGTCTAGAGTCACGAAATTACAAAAAAAACAGCTATTTGAATTTATTCACTAAGAAAAATGTTTGAATATTATCTTGGACAGTGGGAGGCTCGGAGTCAAAAACATTGGGCTAGAAGGTCCAACAGGACAATATGGAGCAGTATTCTCTCTCCTACAGACACACACACACTTATGGACACTGCATCAGGCCGTCCTTTACCCTGCCAGCCTACGATTGCAGCAATGAAGGCATGGAAAAGTTTTACTGAAGTGTATTTTAAATTGTCAGCAGTGTGTGTGTGTGTGATGGTGCAGGAGCAGACACTGCAGGTTGGAGTTAAAGCAGTTGGGGCTCGAGACTGGAATGTGCAGACATAAGCTAAACTAACCTCCCTCACGATGGAGAAAGAAAGAGAGCGAGCGAAATCTAGATTATTTTTGGCACCCAATTTGCTCAAATCTGTGAGCTGCTGTCAGCTGGTTTATAGGAGTGTGTGTCACCCTTAAACCTGTTTATGTTGTACAGTCTGGAGCTTTTGAGGACGTCTCCTGAGAGAGCAACCGGAAAAAGTGCAGGATTGCAAGGATAGTAGATGCTTAACTGCTCATGTATATTTGTTTCATGAAATCCCAAAGCAATTGCACCCGATATTTTATAACTCCGACTGGATTCGTCTGAAAGAAGAAAGTCATATACACCTAGGATGCATCAGGGGTGAGTAAAACGCAGCCTAATTTTCATTTTGGGGCGAACTAACCCTTTAAAAGGAATAGTTCACCCAAAAAGGAAAATTTGCTCTCCCTCAGGCCATCCAAGATGTAAATGAGTTTGTTTCTTCACCGAAACAGATTTGGAGAAATGTCGCCTTACATCACTTGCACACATATGGATCCTCTGCAGTGAATGGGTGCCGTCAGAATGAGAGTTCAAACAGCTGATAAAAACATCACAATACAAATCCACGTGACTTATAGTCCATCAGTTAATGTCTTGTGAAACGAAAAGCTGCCAGTTTGCAAGAAACAATCCATTTCTAACAGGTTTTTTAACAGTTTAACTGGTTTTAATAATGCGTTCTTTAGTGAAAGTGTCCATTCCTTGTTGTCCTCTCACAACATCAAAATCCACCAACATATTTGTTTAGAAAGGTTTATTTCTCTCCTGATCCAGACAAGATGGCTTTTTCATTGGACAAAGTAATATTATGCACTCATATTTCAGCCAGAAACCAACAGTTTGAAGACAAAAACTTCATTCTTAATGAAGGATTTGTTTCTTACAAACATGCAGCTTTCTGTTTCACAAGATGTTAATTGATGGACTGGAGTTGAGTGGATTACTTTTATTGTGATGTTTTTATCAGCTGTTTGGACTCTCATTCTGACGGCACCCATTCACTGCAGAGAATCCATTGGTGAGCAAGTGCTAATGCTAAATTTCTCCAAATCTGTTCTGATGAAGAAACAAACTCATCTACATCTTGAATGGCATGACAGAGAGTGAATTTTCAGCAATTTGCCATTGAGTGAGCCATTCCTTTAAAAAATGGTTACCTTTTGTCATGTAATATATAAAATCTTTGAGAAATTGATCCAGTGCCAGCTGCTGTCTGTCTTTGTATCAACAGAACAGTACGAGAGGACCAGAGAGAAGAATGAGCAGTGGAGAGAATTCCACTATGATGGGCAACACCCACGATACCCTCACCACCGCCACTATGTCTGAGCACATATGAGCCCGTGCAATGCCTCAGAAAGTGGATTTTTGAGGGATAATTTCATGACATTATAAAAATATTCACAACATTTAAGCACTTATAGATTTAAAGCTTTTAATACATGTATAATAAAAGGGTTTGTGTGTTTGGAACGTGACTGCCCCCCCGTTCTAATTGCTTATCTTTACTCTATTATTGGACTCTTTATCAAAACATTCATTAGTTTGTGATTTTAACCTGTTTTCCAAATATTCACAACATTTAAGCACTTATAGATTTAAAGCTTTTAATACATGTATAATAAAAGGGTTTGTGTGTTTGGAACGTGACTGCCCACCCCCGTTCTAATTGCTTATCTTTACTCTATTATTGGACTCTTTATCAAAACATTCATTAGTTTGTGATTTTAAGCTGTTTTCCACGAGCAACTCCTTATTTCCTTCTTCGGTAATTACATTCAGCTGTCATCTGACCTCTCTTTTTAATAACTTTCAATCTGTACTCTTGAGTGACTAAAGCTTCTTTGATTTTCCACATTAGTGAGGATTCGATATAAAACATACCCACCAGAATCATAAAAAAGAGAAAGCCAATAAAAGAAAAAATGCAAAATACTCAACTTTTGCCTATATTGCAACATCTTGCAAACTCATAAATACGGTGTATATATAGTAAAAAAGCCCAGGTTTGTGCGCCTTATAGACGGGATAATAATTCCAAGGAAGTATTTGCTGGCAACGGAGTGACATTCCTGTGCTGAGAGCTTAGACAGATGGGAAAATGAGGGAGAAAGAATCAAGTGGAAAGAACGATTTATCGACCTTCCTGAGCCTCAGTGCCGCTAACCGAATCTTACATGCACCTGACTGACAGGAGAACGACTTCCTGCCACTCCTACTGCTTAAAGAGGAGCACACAGGGGTAATAAAGTTTAAAATATCACTGCGTGCTGGGAGACGGACAAGATTTAGCATGTGTGCCAGTCCCTCCAGTCAAATCAATAGGAGAACGTTCACAGAAAGTCTATAAAACATTGCAAGCTCACTCAGTATTGTTTAATTCAGTTGTGCTTGACATGGTTGATATAAAAGTTGCCCCTGACTGACAGGAGAACGACTCCCTGCCACTCCTACTGCTTAAAGAGGAGCACACAGGGGTAATAAAGTTTAAAATATCACTGCGTGCTGGGAGACGGACAAGATGTAGCATGTGTGCCAGTCCCTCCAGTCAAATCAATAAGAGAACGTTCACAGAAAGTCTATAAAACATTGCAAGCTCACTCAGTATTGTTTAATTCAGGTGTGCTTGACATGGTTGATATAAAAGTTCACAATTAAAATAATAACAGAACATAAGAATATTTACATTTAAAAAGGCTTGATAGTTTATCTTAAAACAACATAGATAGACAACAGACAAACATTAAGGTACTAAAAACAGATTGACCAACACAAATGTAATGCTGATGCCCCTTCACTCTCACTTTCTGATTATGAAGACACAGAAGCCTCCTCTTCTGAGTGAGACTGGGCTCAGGCCACACACACGGGACAGCTGACTCTACTTTAAACTGCTGAGGAATTTGGGCTGTTCCTCTCCGCGTGGCAACAGTAGCTCCCCTCCTATTTTGGGTCCCTTTTTCTCCTGTGAAAATGAGAGACAGGTCAAAACTGGAGCTAGTTACCAAATACACGCTCGTATAATTATGCCATTGAAAGACATAATACAAATTGTAATAAATACATTCGAAATACACTAATAAATTCTTGAATAACTGATGACATAATTAACAAAAAATGTAATGGAAAAAAAAAATAATTATAAAATAATGCAGCCACACTGGGAAGTGGAGCGTATATTTTGCCTGTGTGTGTATGTATGTATATATATATATATATGAAACTTGTAACAATTCGGACAGAATGCGGCAAAGTGATATTCAACTTGGTCATGTTCAACAAGCCTGGAACTACTTCATATCTGCAGTGTGTGGAACGACATGAGGGTGAGTAATTAATAACAGAATTTTCATTTTTGGGTGAACTTTCCCTGTAATTGCAACAAACTCAAGTTAAGTCACCTTTATTTATATAATAAAGATTGTTTAAAAGCAGCTTTATAGGGATAAACAAGAAAATAATGATTCAAAGATGCAAACAAATTAGGGCTGCATCAATGTGAAAGCACGCACGTGATGGAGATTTACCGCTGATTACAGAACCGGCTTTTCTGACAAGATGCGCGTTAAATATCGCATGCGATTTATCGTGCATCCCTAAAACAAATCAATTGTGCTGTAAAGCAGCTCTAAAAAGACTGAAATAAGTACTAAAACTACTCCAGCTAAAACTGAATAAAAATATATATAAAAAAATGGACAAAAGCACAAAATCAAACTTAAAAAAAACAATAAAAGGCCAACTCAAAATATTAATGTACTACAACAGTACATAACACTAAAATAATACAGCAAAGCTGTGGAGTTTTAGAACATTTAATTAATTCAGTTGTAACTTGTCAAACAATCAGAATCAAGGAGTCACAATTAAATAAATAAAAATAAGTAAAAACAAAAACAGTAAAAAAATAATAATTTGAAACTGTACCTTTAACATGCCATCTCTCTCCCACTTAAAAAGTCCACAATGGCTAAAATGGAAAGTGAAATTTATGTTATTACAACATGCAATAACAAATATTAATCTAACAGTTAAGTATTAAACTGCCAGTATGTTATCAAACGTCTTTTATAAAATGTAACACATAAATAATAAAGGTACTGCCGCGTCCCCTCACCTGCAGGCTCCATGTGGCATCCGTGCCAGGCAGATCTTTCTCTGACCGCAGGGGCATTTAAAGAAGCGTTTGACGGCGTCATGCCAATGGTAGTCGTGTTTCTCTTCCACACAGCGGTCCGCTGGTTTAAAGTGGGTGTACTTACACTGCGGGGCGAAAGGGGCTCATGAACGAAACCGCATAAACAGGCCGAGATTTACAGGTGTAATCAGTCCGAAACCACATAATTGTCTAATTAGCATCTAGAGAGGTTTGTTTGCCTTTCGTTCCTCTTGAACAACATTTATTGAAGTATTATGTCACAAATCATGTTCAAAATTGGTTCGTCATTATGACTTGCTGTGAATAAATACTGATTAGCTACTAATGATGCAGGAGAAATCGTTCTGTTTTCATGAGGACTTGAATGAGACGCACTGTAGGGATTTTCAAGTGGACCACTTGAAATTCAAAATGCATCCAGTGCTTTTTCTGACCCATGTTTTGCACTGGATTACTTGGCATAAAGGACAGATGCTGAATCTCTTTAGTTGCAAATTTGTTGACTTACAGTTTTGCAGGTGACGGCTCGACACTTCATCTCCCTGATGCTCTTCATCTTCTCCTCCATCTTCTCTTTTTGCACCAGCGGCTCAAAATACTCCTGCATGGCCCGCTCCTCAATCTAGATGCAAGATATTTTGTCAAACATGCAAGCACACGCCAATGGGACATGGCTTCCATCATTTTATATCGCATGTGGCAAAAGAAACACTACAGAATCCAAATCAAATAAAGCCATCTGGACAGATCACGCCGAACGCTTTCAAAACAACCGCAAGCTCCGCCCACCCACTGTGACATCATCATATATAAACACACTGACATTCATATCAAAACACACATGCACTAATGTTCAGCCAAAACACACACCTCTCCCATCATCCACGAGTTTGAGGACTTGGCGTTGAGGATGCGCTGAAACTCCTCCGATTGGATGTACTCTAGCTGTTCCCGCCTCTTTTTCTGAGCTGGCTCCTCCTCCTCACCAGTTGAATTTTCATCTGACACTGCAGATGGGTTTTTAGCAGAATGAG